ATATTTTTCCTATTTAAAACTTGACTCTTCTGTAGTTACATCGTGTACTAAGACCGACGGAAAATGAAAAGTTGTGATTTTCTAGGCCGATATGGCTAGTTACTATACTCTCATTCCGGCATAATAATCAAGGTTGATTGATGCAATGATATTACGCAGCGCCTGAAAATAGTCCCAGCACGCTCCCTGTGCAAGCAGGTGGTCACGTTGGTTATGTTGATGGAAGTTAGCCTATTATCAGGCGCTGCGTAATGTCATTGCACCTGCTGCACCCATAGTACGGCAGCAAAGTTCCTTGATTATTACGCAGGAATGAGAGTATAGTTCCTAGCCATAACGGCCTAGAAAATCGCAGCTTTTCATTTTCCGTCGGTCTTAGTACACGATGTAACTACAGAAGAGTCCAGTTTAAAATAGGAAAAATATAGAAACTCTTTGGTCATTTTTGAGCGAGATGCTAACGGTCTAATCAGATTCAATGATCTATGCTAAGCTACAGCTAAAAGTGCTACCGCCAGACCCGGAGATCGGCTGAATGGATTCGAAAACGGTAAAACTCAACTGTTTAACTCTAGGGGAGTCGGAAAATGAGCCTATTTTCAAAAATAGTGGAGCGTTCCTTTAACGTTCAAATTTATCATTATATTTATGGTTCTTTGTGTCAACATGCTTTTAATGTTAACATTTAACATTATAGCTATTGTTCTTGTGTCAGCAGGCTTGTTACATTAACGTTTGTTGTTATAGTTATTGTTCTTGGTGTCAACAGATCTTAAATGTTAATGTTGGTGTTGATGGTGAGCTGGTCTTGTTTGGGGTTTCTTGAGTTCAGAAGGAAAGCAGATCATGGACTAACACTAGTAGTTGTGCTGTGTAGCGTTTTCTTATTATTGTTATCGTTCTTGGTGTCAACATGCCTTTAACGTCAAAATTTTTGCTTAGTTATTGTTCTTGGTGTCAGCAGGCCTTTATCTTTATAGTTATTGTTATAAATATCGTTCTTGATGTGAACTGGGGGCCCTTAAGCTACTATTCATTGAAAGCAGTTAGCAAACGTCTCTGTGAATTTAATATTGTATTAACTGGCACGTCTCCAAAGTTGTTCGTATTCAGTATAAAAGGATTCATGTTTAGATGCTGTCAGTGTGTTGATGTTGTAAGTTTCTGTGTATGCAAACGTACAGAAATATACATGCACCCTTTATGTGTGAATACCAGCCTGTTTATGCATAGCAGGAGGTCCTGGTGCTGTATTTATATTCTTACTTAAACACATATTTACACATAAACATGCAAGATTCACACACTGTGTTACTGTATATGATTTAGAATGTGGATTGTTTAACACAGATACTTGTGATTGTATTTCAGGAGCTGAAACACACACACACACACACACAGCCTTTCTGCTGGTAACCATGGCAATAATTACAGATCGCTGTAGCCATGTGTTAAGCGATGGCTCGGGGGAGCGAAAGCACTTTGGCCAACCATCTTTCTCTCTCTTTATTTTTTCCTTTTGCTTTATACTCGTTCTTATTTAATATGGAGGACGGCTATCCACAGATTGAAGGCTTGTGTTGTCATGGAAACTGTAAGTCCTTGTGCCACCAGCCAACCCCCCCCTGTGTGCCAGTTGGTTTGTTCCATGCTGCGTTGTGTAGCGTGGCTGCGGACCGAACCATCGCGAGCGCGGTGCTCTGAGTGGGTGTGTGGGCTGATCTCTGGTGCCAGTGTGTGTTATTCACAATTTTGATAGATCCCGTTCTGAATTTTAAAATCATTCCCTCAAATTATATTTTCCACTTTTCATTAATTTGCTGACATGTATAATGTGAAGCATTCACAGAATGGGACTTGACAGCGTCACGTTAAGAGTAAGTTATCTTTGCGTTTTAAGATTTAAATTAACTTTCCTAGTCATGAGACTCACTGAATGTACAGTAGTATAAACCGTTGAAGCGAAGCTACAAACTAATAATTAATACCATCTAACAAACAGATTATTTTACCTGATAATTCAAAAAAAGATCTCTTCCAGCGCGGGAATCGAACTTGGTTCGTTGTGAATGAAGCGCGCCACTCCCGCCGCTGGCAGTTGCTGAATTTCAAACGTTTAAGGTGACGGTTAAAGACGTTAGAATCTAAACACTGCGCGGCCGTTATTAGAGGTGTGTTCGCGCGCGCGGGAGCGTAGTAGCAGATCTCTCTCCAGTCTGTCAGACGCGAGCTGTAGGGCTGCATGGTTTTTTTCTTCTGTCAGTGTGAGATGAAGATGAAGATGAGGATGATGCGCGCGCGGTCCGCCCAAGCAGGATCATTCCTGGCTCGCGTCTAACCGTCGCGCTGAATATCGCGTTTATTTTCGACGATGCGGGAGTAACGGGATGAGGATCGCTCGCAAGTCGGCGACATGACAAACCCGCCGCGCGCGCGCCAGCCGCATTCACCGCGGAGCGAGCGATGAGCGCCGGCGGGAATCTGTGCGTCACCCTGGAAACGGCAGCGGAGACTCGAGCGAGCGCAGCGACAGCCGGACTGAAGACCGAGGAGCAGCCGCCGCAGGACGCGGAGAGCACCGCGCGCTGATCACGATGAACGAGGGATGAATTTCGCTGTTTATACTGAGCCGGTGATGAAGAAGAGCACTGCACATGTCCGCAGCAAACTCGACTCGCGTGAGGACAGCGTTAGACAGTGATTCTCCCGCCTGACAGAACTGATCTGAGGACAGTGAGAATATGACGGATGCCTGAGGAACGCACTGAACATTTCCGTGATAACGTTAACGTTAGTTACTGGAGCGGAGAGACCGACGCCTGCGCTCTTTCTTCTCCGGTAAGAGCTCGCAAACTAAACCTGAGGTTCACTTCACTGTAAGTTACAGCCTGAGGACGAATTCATTCCAAATTGTAAATAACGACGCACTATTTCCTTTAAGGGTTTAATTAAGTGAGTCTGCAGTGAGCCAGCAATACATTGTATGGGTCAAAATTATACATTTTTCTTTAATGTCAAAAATCATTAGGATATTAAGTAAAGATCATGTTCCATGAAGATATTTAGTAAATTTCCTACCGTAAATATATCAAAACTTAATTATTGATTAGTAATATGCATTGCTAATAACTTCATTTAAACATGATTTTCTCAATATTTAGATTTTTTTGCACCCTCAGATTCCAGATTTTCAAATAGTTGTATCTCAGCCAAATATTGTCCTATCCTAACAAACCATACATCAATGGAGAGCGTATTTACTTTGTATACATCTCACTTTCATAAATTGACTGGTTTTGTGGTCGAGTGTCACATATAGTACATGTACAGTAGTGTGTTATTATTGCAGTGCTCCTGATGTACTGTAGATTGTTGTATGTCCCACCCTGTTCAGTGCTGCCCCCTACAGACCGTGTGTTTACAGTAGTGCACTAGAATACCACTCACTGCTCCTGGCATATGCTGTTTCTGCACTGTATGCTCTGCACACTTGAACTGTCTGTATGCATGGATTTGCTGAGATGTGTAGTATGCATACAGTGCACACTGCGAGAAATGCTGTATATGCCACAGTGCTGTGCGCTGCACTTGAACTTGCATTACTGTGACAAACTGGATGCATTATGACATTCATTTCTTGCGTGACTCATTAATGGATCAGACTGACTAAAGTTGAGATGTTTTTTCACAAAAAATGGATTTACATGTAAAAGTACATCCGTATGTATTTTTGTGATTGTAACTGGATGATGTGCACTGAACATAATGCAACAAAATCATGTGACAACAGTCTTGCTGTGCACACTGCGTACTGTTTCACAAGGCATTTTGTAAAAATAGTGTGCAGCATAATGTGTATAGTCAGAAGGAGTTGGTATGCATGCAGTTTCACATATCAGCCCTCTACGGACACCTTGGCAATTGAATCGCCATTGGCTAGTACATTTTTTTGTTTACTCGCCAGACTGATAAAAAGAAAAATTAAATAAATATAAATATCTGAAAGTACACTCTTAACATCAGTCAGTCAAGCATTATAATATGATAATCAATATTATTTAACCCCTTCGCACGTGAGTTTAAAATATTCTAGCTGAGCCCCGAGCGTGAGTTTTTTTTTTAGGCGACCGTTATTTTAGAATGTATTGCCTCAAGCCCCGTTCACACTGCCAGCGACACACAGCGACAAAGCGACATGCTCCCATTCATTTTCAATGGAGAGCTGGCGACTTCCGGC